CTGCACGTATGCGCAAGGTGGCAGATGAATCGGGGACGTGGGTGATTTGCGCAGGCCTTCGCGTGCGACGTGAAGCCACAACAGCCGGACGAGTCTGACCCCGTCCCAGCGGATTTGACGATGGCGTGCGGCTGAGGAAGGGGCGCGGAGGCGCAATCCCAGATCCGGCGAGGTCCGAGCGCAGCGGCAAGCCGGTGACCCCCACGGGGCGGTGATGCGGGAGAGGGAGGACGAAGCTAGAAGCGGGACTGCAGGCTTTGGAGGATGTGTGTGTGTGTGGGGGGGTGGCTGAATGAGTTCCGCTGCCATCGGCAGGCTTTGCTCATCGTCGTTTGCCGGTGCGGCGAGGGGAGGTTGCTGGAGATTCGGTGGCGGCGGCGTAGGGTGCCCGGCTGAGCTGCCTCGGAGAGACGACACGGGGGAAATAGCTTTTTTCACCTGCAGAGAGAAGTTATTTTGTGCTCCAGCTAGTTGTCGATAATGGAGGTTGTTGTATTTGCATTTTTGGTTTACACGACTCCCATTTTGCGTTCTTAGATAACTTTTAGTAGGATGTCATACGACCCTGTTTTGAGAATTAGTAATTGATTTTCAAACAGCATGTTATATTCTTGGTCTAGGAGTTATTTAGCTTCTTTATGGGTTTTCTTCGGGAGTTTGTGGAAGGAGTTGGTACTTTCCATTTCAGTAACACTAAGTGGTGTTTCTTTCTTTCTTTCTTTCTTTTGGAATCAGGTGCCAATTGTACCATATGGTGGGGCTACATCAATTGAGGGACATACGTTGGCACCTCATGGTGGTGTTTGCATTGACATGTCTTCAATGAAGGTAAATATTAAGATTTATGATCAACAGCCATGTAATCATAACATTAACAATGATGTAGATGAACTCGGTATGAATAAATCGAAATCTTACTCTAATGCCTAAAAAGTGCTAGAGTACTTGGCTCATCTATTTTACTATATTTTGTTATACCAAGCAGGCAAGCACTTTCTTAGCAGTGAGCTATATACATGCAGGATACGATCTGTTAATTTCATACTGTATATTTTAATGTATCACAAATTCATTGCAGAAAATCAAATCTCTGCATGTTGAGGATATGGATGTTGTAGTTGAACCAGGAGTTGGATGGATTGAGCTGAATGAATACCTGAAACCCCATGGTCTCTTTTTCCCTCTTGACCCAGGCAAGCTCCTTGTTTCCTTTCCCCTTCCAGTTTTTTCTGTCCATTTACCTTTTCAACCGACGAAGTGAAGTATTCCCCACTTGTGCCAAGAAGTCCTGGGTTCGACGCAGCCTCTATGCATTGCTCTGCGCAGGGGTAAGGCTTGCCTCGTATCCTTCCCCAGACCCCACCTGGTATGGGAGCTTCTAGCACTGGGTCTGTCCTTTTTTTTACCTTTTCAACTGACCATGTAAAATCCAGATTGACATAACCTGATATGAAATTATTCAATCATCAAAATCAATAAAAAGGCCATCATGGAGCAAGATCCAAACAGATCAATCTTGTCCAAAAAAAAACCCTTTCATCATGCCCTTTGTTCCTATGTCCTTTGCCCTTTCATATTCAGTGTAACTCGACTACAGTTGAACAGCAGCTTTGTTTGCAACTGACTTCTGTAGTGTAATTGCATCTTCCAGACATTTAGGTGCAAAATCCAGATTGACATAACTTAATAAATTATATTCAATGCAACTCGACTGCAGTTGAACAGTGTAATTGCACCCTCCAGACATTTAGGTGTTATGTACCTTCTGTCCTAGGGAGATAATTATGCATGTTTGTAGTACTCAATAGTTGCACTGAAGTTCGATCATCTTTCTGGGTCCACTAAAATAGCATCAGCGGTTGCTTGCTTTTGCACTAGTTTAGTGGCGTAGCTTATCTACATTGGTCTGATTTACAGGACCTGGAGCCACTATTGGTGGAATGTGCGCTACACGATGTTCTGGTTCATTAGCCGTGAGGTAATTCTCCATATAATTTCAGGCCACTTTTTGGCTTCTACAGTGCATCTGTAACCCCATCCGCACAAAGAGGAAGGACAACCATTACGTGCACGATTCACCTGTTTATCTGTTGTATTCTTATGATACTTATGTTAGATGGCTTTGATGAATTTGCTTCTTAGTTTGTAGGTATGGAACTATGCGGGACAATGTTATCAATCTTCAGGTCCTTTTGCTATCCTCATTATTTCCCCATATACTGTACATTTGACTAAGCATACAAGTAGTGATCTTTTATGGTACATCAGGCTGTTCTACCAGATGGCGACGTTGTCAAGACCGGTTCTCGGGCTCGAAAGAGTGCAGCTGGGTATACAAGAACTGCTCCTGTTTCTTAAGATTAAAAGGCTTCATTTCTTCGGGAGTGAATCTTAGTTGTGCTGTGCTGCTTGCTTTTCCCATAATGTCTACATATTATATATATGAAGTTATACATCTGTTGCTGCCATTAGTATTGACAACTTTTTTTACTTTCCACCATGTTGAATATCAGATATGACCTAACTCGGTTGATCATTGGAAGTGAAGGGACTTTAGGGGTAATTACAGAAGTGACTTTACGACTTCAAAAGCTTCCATCTCATTCCGTGGTAGGTCTTCTGTTTTGATTTATTCGCTGTCGAAATAATGTTTTGCTAACAATTCTTACTGCACTTTGTATACTTGATTGTTAAGTTTTAACAACTAATCTGTTTCTCTGTTTAGGATATACACTCTTTATGTAGCACATCCTGTGGAGAAACACCATTCTTCATGCCGTATTTGAAGCAGCACAAAGGTTGTGGAGGAGCAACTCCACCTTGCTGCTACAACGTGTTACAGCACAAGTGTTGAAGGAACAGCTTCAACGTGCTGTGCTAGATATCGCTCTAGAGGCGAATGTAGGCCGATAGGGCAGCAAGAGTTCAATCCAGAACTCCTAGGGCACAAGGTCTACTCCAAGATCTTAGATAAGAACAACAAGTTCAATTATAGGTAGTGGGTAGTCTGGGTACAAAGTAGAGGTGAGGACCTCTATTTATAGGGCTTTGGGAAGCCTTCACATACTTCTACTTATAGCTGTTATTTAGGATTCACCATTCTACTCACAGCTCCTTATAATTAGAGAGCTCTAGAAACAGCAGGTAGGGTAAAGAAAAGAAAAGAAATACTAGACCACAACAGAAGTATCTAGAAGTAGCCAAACAGATTTGACATATGATTATATTTTCATTTTTCTCATCTATTGTTCCTCATCAGTATTACTATGACTTAACTCCTATCTTGCATCTTAAGAATGGAAACAACTTTTGTATGAACACAAGATATTTTCTTTTAATAGTCTATCTTATCCTGCACTCGATAATTACATTATTCGGAACATTTCTATGTGATGTTCTCCCTATGTTCCTAACAAAATGTTTATTGGCTTAATGTTCTATGATATAAAATTTGGGAAGTGTTTTTTTCCGGGAAAACACAAAAGCTTTGCATTTTGATGCATTGGTAGAAGGAAAGAGTTTGTACAAGCCCAAAGAAGGTCACACTCAGAGTTACAACACACCGCCGTCGTCCCTAGGCTCCACCTCAGCCCTGTAGCACAACCTGGAGGCCTCTCACGCCCGCCGACACCCATTGTCTGGCTTCCTCTTGGATCTTACCAACGAGGGAAGGCAAGCTAAGGGGAGCGTTGTCGAAGATAATGCGTTGCGATGCTTCCAGATGCACCGTACCACCAACATGATGGCCGGGGATGTGCCCTTCTGAGTCTGAGGAGAGGCTGGTGTTGAAGTGTACATGTGGATTGCCTAGCCCTTTTCATCAGTTCGGCCTTTTGGTTGTGTTGGCTAGCGCATGAAGCTTAATATGCTATCAGAGATTAGCTTATTTTTTTAGCACGCGCAAGTCGTGCTGATCCGATTTTTCGCGATGCCGCCATCTTCCTCTGGCCAGCTCGCGCTTTCATAACATGGTATCGCAGCCTAAGGTCTTGAGTTCAAGTCCTGGCTTTTGCGATTTATCCAAAAATTGTTGCTGCCCCCTCTGTGTCCACGTATAGGCCTCTTGAGTCATACCTCTGAGTCTATTCACGTGTTGACTTCCCGCGTCACACGTGAGAGGGGGTGTTGAAGTGTATATGTGGATTGCCTAGCTCTTTCCATCAGTTTTGACTTTTGGTTGGGTTGGCTAGCGTATGAAGCTTAACAGCTGGGACCGAGTGGCCCATTCAATGCCACCAATCCACGTAGTCGTCCTCCGCATTGGGTGTCTTGCCGTCGAACGCAACCAGGAAAGAACCTCGTGCCACACCACGTGCGAGAAGGAACAAACAGTGAGGAGATGAGCCATTGTTCCTCCGACTGATCATAAAGCACGCAACACGGTGCATGCTGAAGGCCTCGGCGTGCCAGGCTCTCAGCAGCCCAACAAAGTTCCTGGCAGGCAAGCCACACGAAGAACTTGACCCTAGGTGGGGCCCAAGTCATTCAGTTAAGCTTCCACGAACTTGAACCGGCTGCCCCCCCCCCCCCTAGAACAAGATGTCGTAGCAGCTCTTGGAGGAGTATTGCGAGTCCAGGGTCCAGCGCTATTGGAGGACATCCGGCAAGGTGGTAAGCTGCATTGGCACACCAACCACTAGACCTCGATATACTGCCAGAGTGCCAACGGGCTCAGGCCCCTCTGATATCCGAGATCCAACGGCGGCCAACCAAGGCATCGCTGACGGTCCGGCGCTTCCTGATGCACTCAAGACCAACGTTAGGAGCTCAGGCGCAATCTCAGAAAATGGCATGGCCATCGAGCCAGCGATCCTCCCAGAATAAGGCTGAGGTTCCGCCACCAACCACCATCCTGGTGGATGCGGCCCATTGTGGCGAACACCTCACACTCATCGCGGGAGAATTACAGGTCGAGGCCTCTCCCAGGGCGGAGGAGTTCAGTGCACATCCTGATCCTTAGGCTGGTCGCGGCCCTGCTAAGGTCCGGAACACCAGCCCCTAGGTGAGGCGACCCACCTTCGCGTGGGACGCCCTCCACATGGGAAGGCGGTCCGCAATCCTGCAAGTTATAACATATAAACCGCAACACGGCTATTCTTACAATGCACCAGTATTCACGTCGCCACAACATTCATCTTGTTTTGCCATTGCTAGTAGCAAACCATGTACCATTTTCAATGTTAGAAGTTTTGAAAGAGTAATGGACATGCATAGGATGCCACCTTATTCATCTAGCTTTGTCGACCTTTTTTTGTAGTTCTTTCTGCGTCTTCATTTTACCTATGAACTCATTCCTCCTAAATGCTCTCTATATTCAGGTTGCTATGTGCAATTTTCAAACGGTTAAGGATGCTGCTGATGTTGCTATTGCATCAATGCATTCTGGCATACAGGTTTGTCCGTATCCTTCCGTTTTTCTTTCATTGCTATGACATTTGAAAAAATTGTAAGTCAGATATGAAATAATCGACATCCTTTCCATATGGACTGAATGTTCATATCTCCATGCTCGTATTTGTGTTAAGAGTTGTGTCGAATATAGTGTACAAAGTAGGTTACAGTTGGACTTGTAGTTTGTATTGTGTTTAGATAGGATATGGAGTCGTGTCCTAGTAGGACACTTGTATCCTAGGCCTCTCATATATAGCGAGGGTAGGCACACGAAGTATTGTAACCTATGCCAACATAATAGCACAGGAACGCAGGGGAAGGCGGCGGCATGTGGCGGCGTCCAGGGCGACCGGGTGCGGTATTGTAGCGGTGTCATGGGGAGGAGCGCCCATAGTCAGGCCCCAGGGATGTAGCTGTTAGAGTATTATACTAGATCATGAAGACACGCGTTGCCGCGCCCGCCCATATTGAGGAAGTATAGAGGTATGCATTATGATGGTTGACACAATGAATTAATTATTCAAGAAACACAATATTAGCCCAGTTCATCTTAACAATCTAGGATAGCACTCCCTTCTGTGAAATGCCAAAGTTGTTAATATATCATTTTAACATTGGAGAAGGTAAGACATCATATTTGCCTACTTTGAGAAGCCATCGCCTATGACCGTATCATGCGTTCTTTTGTGTTATGACAATGACATTCAACGCACATGATGAAGTAGACGTCAAACTTGGCAAATAAAATATCCTCGCAAACTGAATGGCAATTTCATCTGGTATTAAAACAGATTAAAACTAAATAATTTTCTACGTAAGCCAAAATTAAAATTATTCATGCTCATAATTACCCAAACAGACCCGCACTAATATTGACCCAGGCCATTTTATCATGATTCGACCCATCAAGCATATTCAACCCATGCGGCCATGCCTACTCATTTTAGACTAATTAAGTTCATTTTAGACTAATTAAGTTCTTTAGGTAGAACAATTATAAAATGTTGATAGCAGTAGCAAAGGAAAGAACATAGGCATAAGAGTTATTCGGTCTTACATACCCAAGCCGTACCAAAGAAACTAATCTTCATAGGTTCAGCTTATGCCAGAGACAGATTATATGAAATCCGAAACAAAGAGAAGGAAAGGGAGCAGGCAAAACGCAAGTGCCTGGCTGAAATAAAAACCAAACAAATCGCATGGAATGCAGCACTAAACTCACAGTAATAATAGAGAGAACAAAGATGAACAAAGGGCAATAATTTGTGAATAGTCGCACCTGTCCGCCCGCCATGATCGCATAGCTGGCTGAGGTTTACTGTTTTTTAATTGGGTTTGAAGCACACCCCTTGAGAAATTCGTACAGGAAAACTCCAATGAACAAGCACTGCAACCCTGTAAGAAGGAATAGAAAATCAGTTCCATAGATACGAAGACATGGAGGAGTGTGCGTCAAACCCAATTAGGGAGAATGAAAGATTGTAGTGACACAGCGGTGGTGTGTGCTGCCGCCACAGCCGCAAAGGAGGAGATATGTATGTCACTCTTGCGCTGACGAGGATTCTGGTGCAGCGGTCGCCTCCACCTCCTCGCACCAGCGAGATGCCGCCGTGTTATCTTGCGTCGGTAAGACGTACGTAGCTCCTTGATGCTGCAGCGTCACTCTTGAGCCGTTCACATGGCCTCCTCCTACTGATCGCCCGCCTTGGCTACAGCCAAAGCTCTCTCTCTCATTGTCGCCGCATCCATGATTCATGGACAATCACCAATAAGAACAGCTGGGGTTAGCACTATGAACTTCGAGGACATAGGGAGGTGAAATCAAAACGTAGGGTTGCGCTTACGATGGACTGTTATTGGAGGAATACCGTCGACCTGGACTGGAGCCGCCGCCGGTTTCAGGGCAGCAGATGATGAAGAACCTGGGCCGATCGGGATGACAGGAAGTCGGGACGATCGAGCCTCGCGGCGCTCGGTGTAAAAATTTGACGGTTCACGAGAAGGCTCCCAAGTCGATCCTCGGAGCAGCGGCCCGATAACGGGGTAGGGCGACGGCTAAAAAGGCCCACAAGGGCCGAACGATCTTCAGCGTTAAACAGTAGATCGGATGGTCCAGAACGTCAAATCGCTGTGGAGGGGCGTTGGTGGCTGAGTTTTACTGTTTTACAATATATATATATAGCCATGTAACCTTTCGTATTTACCCTATTGTATAAGGGGTTTCCTGCATATATTCCACACCTGTACATGTATATATATACTGGCCTATGGCCTCCTGGAAATACAAGTTGCATATTTCCTAACATGGTATTAGAGCTAGGTCAATTTTTTGCATGCTGCAACTCGTGCCATTGATCCGTTCCTGCCGCCGGCCGCTGGGTTTTCATCTGCCCGCCTCGCCCCGCGGTCTTCCTCTGTCCCTCCCGATCGATCCGATCGCGTTGAGCCGCCGTCTTCCGTTCCCTCACCAGGTCTCCCGATCGAACCGATCGCTCTGCCCCGCCCCGCAGTCGGGCCTTGGGCCTCTGGTCGCCATCGCCCCGCAGTCGGGCCTCTCCCGATCGCGCTCGCCCGGGCCTCTCCCGATCGATCGCTCCAGTCACCAGATCGCCCCGCCACCAACCCTCTGGATCGATCGCGCTCGTGCACTCCTGGTTCGCTCCAGCCACCAGATCGCCCTGCCACCAACCCTCTGGATCGCCTTCTGCTCTGGAGCGGCGGCCACCAGCTACCGATTTTCGCCGCCCTTGCCGGATTCTGCCGCTGATCTCCGTCGTTCTGCTGCTGGTTGTGTCTTCGTACGCTACCTCACGACCGAAAGCTGCTGTCGCCTGCTTGTTGACGAAAAAAAATGTCTACACCGTCAGGCTATGTCGCAGTTCCTCGCTGTCCGGTGATCTTTGATGGCACTAACTACATGGAGTTTGTTGGTTTCATGCGCATTCATATGCGTGGCATTCGTCTTTGGGGCGTTCTTTCTGGCGAGGTCCGTTGTCCGCCTTGTTCGGTTGCACCTGTGCCCCCTACTCCGCCGACGCCACCGGTTATTGCTGCCGATGCTGATCAAGTTGCAAAGGATGCAGCTAAGCTTGCAGATGACACTGCCATACATGCTTATGATGAGCAGGTTTTGACTTATGAGGAGGCTCTTCAGACTTCATATGAGGCTCTTTCTGCTTACACTCAGTGGCTTGATCAGGATGCCCGTGCCGCAACTGTTCTCACTGCTAGTGTTCTGCCTCAGTTTGCCTCTGAGTACTTGGGGCTCCCTACCGTATCTGAGATGTGGACCCGTCTTCGTCAGCGCTATCAGCCCTCTGGTGATGCCTTATATCTGTCTGTGGTCCGGCAGGAACATGCTCTTTAGCAGGGTGACTCCAGTGTTGACGATTTCTATGCACAGAGTTCTGCTATCTGGCGTCAGCTTGATTCTCTCCGCACTGCTGGTTGTCGTACTTGTCAGTGTTGCCAGGCTGTGCGGGCTGATTTGGAGTTTCATCGTGTCTACGAGTTCTTATCTCGGCTTCGTAAGGAGTTTGAGCCCCAGCGTGCTCAGTTGTTTGCTCGTGGTCGTATCTCCCTCATGGAAGCGCTTTCTGAGATTTGTGCCGAGGAGACTCGCCTACGTGGTGCTGGTCTACTTGAGGTTCCCTCTGTGCTCGTTGCTCGAGTTCCTATTATGTCGCCTGCTGCACCGACCCCATCCCGCTCCAGTGCTCCTCCGCTCTTACCTACTCCTACGGGCGGCCAGGGTCGGTCTCGTCCTCACTGCGGCTACTGCAATATGGATGGTCATGTTGAGTATCAGTGCTTCCAGAAGAAGAAACACCTGCGTAAGGCGCGATCATCAGCTTCAGGGACTTCTTCTTCTACTTCGACATCTTCAGCCACCGCCTTGACTGAGCAGGATATTCCGCGACTTAAGCGTCTGCTTACTGCTTCTGGTTCTCCTTCGACGGGTACTGCAGCTTCTGTGGCTGATGCTTCCCGCACCGAGCAACCACCCTCTACACAGTTAGGTACATCCTCGTGGGTTCTGGACTCCGGAGCTTCTTTTCATATGTCTTCTCATTCTTCACATTTGTCCTCTCTTAAATCGCTTGATTTTCCTATTCATGTACTCACTGCTGATGGTACTCCTCTTTCTGTTGCTAGTCGAGGCACTCTTATCACACCTTCTTACTCTGTTCCTGATGTTGCTCATGTTCCTCGACTTACCATGAATCTTTTTTCTGCTGGTCAACTTACTGATTCTGGTTGTCGCGTCATCCTTGACGTTGACTCTTGTTCCGTTCAGGATCGTCGAACGCACACTTTGATTGGGGCTGGCCCTCGCCGCTGTGACTCTCAGGGTCTTTGGGAGCTAGACTGGCTTCATGTTCCTTCCGCTGCCACCACTATCGCCAGTCCATCCGCTTCTGTCGCTTCAGCTACCGGCTCCTTCCAGCAGTGGCATCATCGACTTGGTCATCTTTGTGGGTCTCGCTTGTCGTCATTAGTTCGTCGAGGTCTTCTGGGGCCTGTCTCAGGAGATGTCTCTTTAGAGTGTCAGGGTTGTAGACTCGGCAAACAGATTCAGTTACCTTATCCTACTAGTGAGTCGGTGTCTCAGCGTCCTTTTGATTTAGTCCATTCTGATGTATGGGGTCCGGCACCCTTCGCTTTGAAAGGGGGCCATCGATACTATATTATTTTTATAGATGATTTCTCTCGTTACACTTGGCTTTATTTTATGACTTCTCGCAGTGAGGTTCTTTCCATCTATAAGCGTTTTGCTGCCATGGTTCACACTCAGTTCTCTTCGCCTATTTGTGTGTTCCGTGCTGACTTCGCTGGCGAGTATATTTCCAAGATGTTGCGTGGTGTTCTTGCTGAGCAGGGCACTCTTCCTCAGTTCTCTTGTCCTGGTGCTCATGCTCAGAATGGCGTGGCTGAGCGAAAGCATCGCCACCTTCTTGAGACGGCTCGTGCGTTGATGATCGCCGCTTCTCTTCCACCTCATTTTTGGGCCGAGGCTATCTTCACCTCCACCTATCTCATCAACCTTCAGCCGTCCGCTGCTCTCCAGGGTGGTGTTCCTTTCGAGCGTCTCTTTGATCATTCTCCTGATTATTCGATGCTTCGCTTGTTTGGTTGTGTTTGCTATGTTCTTCTTGCCCCTCGCGAACGCACCAAACTGACCGCTCAGTCTGTTGAGTGTGTTTTCTTAGGCTATAGTGATGAGCATAAGGGCTATCGTTGTTGGGATCCCATCGGTCGTCGGATGTGTATTTCTCGTGATGTGACTTTTGATGAGTCTCGTCCCTTCTACCCGCGTCCATCTTCCTCGACCTTTTCAGTGGAGGATATCTCTTTCCTCACTTTTCCTGACACACCTATCACTCCAGTTGAGCCCTTGTCTCTCCGTCCTGCTCACTCTACTTCTCCAGATCTTGCCGATTTATCGCCACCATCTCCCACGATTTCCTCACCTCGCATGTCACCGGATTCTGCACCTTCATCCCCGGTGATTTCTTCGTCTCCACCTCCTGATTCTACCTCGGCTATTTCTCCTCGTATTCTTTCATCTTTTCCTCAGTATTACACTCGTCGTTCACGTAATGTGGATGCGTCTGCTGATGTCCCGTTCTTCTCATCTCAGCCTACCTATGGCTTGCGTCCTCGTCCGCTTTCGCCTGTTGATCGCCTTGGTTTTTCAACCGCTAGTGCTGCTGTTCTTGAGCCGACTTCTTGTCGTCAGGCTGTTGTTCATCCTGAATGGTAGTTTGCGATGGCAGAGGAGATTGCTGCTCTTGAACGCACTGGTACATGGGATCTTGTTTCTCTTCCTCCAGGTGTCCGTCCCATCACTTGTAAGTGGGTCTATAAGGTTAAGACTCGCTCCGATGGTTCTCTTGAGCGTTACAAAGCTCGTCTTGTGGCTCGTGGTTTTCAGCAGGAGCATGGTCGTGATTACGACGAGACTTTTGCTCCTGTGGCCCATATGACCACTATTCGTACACTTCTTGCCGTGGCTTCTGCACGCCACTGGTCTGTGTCTCAGCTTGATGTTAAGAATGCTTTTCTTAACGGTGAGTTGCGTGAGGAGGTATACATGCAGCCACCACCTGGGTATTCTGTTCCTGATGGCATGGTATGCCGTCTTCGTCGCTCTCTCTATGGCCTTAAGCAAGCCCCCCGTGCCTGGTTTGAGCGTTTTGCCTCTGTGGTAACTGCCGCTGGTTTTTCAGCGAGTGCTCATGATCCAGCATTGTTTGTCCACCTTTCTCCACGTGGTCGGACTCTTCTTCTTCTCTATGTTGATGACATGATCATCACTGGGGACGACCCCGAGTATATTGCCTTTGTAAAGGCCCGTCTTAGTGAGCGGTTTCTTATGTCCGATCTTGGACCTCTTCGCTACTTTCTTGGGATTGAAGTCTCTTCTACCTCTGATGGCTTTTTTATATCCCAGGAAAAGTATATACAGGATCTTCTTACTCGTGCTGCTCTTACCGATGAGCGCATTGTTGAGACTCCCATGGAGCTCAATGTTCACCTCCAGAGAATCGAAGCCTATTTCAACGGGAAAAAGTGGGTGACGTGTGGTTCGGACTGGAGCCCAGTGGTCTGATGGAAGCGTGAAACTCGTCATCGGTCGGTGATGATTGATGGTACTTTGCAGTGGGGGTTGAGCAGTGTGGGTTCGTGACCTTTGAGACTCGACCGGGCAGAGGCTCGACGTGGTAATAGCGGCGTGACATGCGGTATGCATGGGACATGGAGACGGGTCAGGGCTCTTGTGGTCATGCATGTGGTGAGACAACTGTGAATTTGACTCGGGATGACTACAAGCAACGGTGAAATTCTTTCAAGTTTCAGACAGACGGTCAAGGAAGGGTGGTGATGTTGAGTTCAGGTAACTTTTATGTGTGACACTCAATATGTTAGTTGTTCACTTTCATGCAGGTTAGTGATCAGTGCGTGATGGCATTCGATGGATACTCTAGAAGTTGGGAGCACAAACTCTAGAGTAACAAGGAACTTAATTTTGCTCGAGTGTTGACTGTGGTCAAGAAAAGAAGGGACTACAAGTTGCAGGTGGAGTCATATGGAGTCTTTGAAGTAGCAGCGGTGCTCATGGGATAAGCTCAAGTCCAATGTACATGAAAGTTTGACACATGGACGAATTCAAGGTGGTGGAGAATATTCGCCAAGGTGGAGTTTGTTAGAGTTGTGTCGAATATAGTATACAAAGTAGGTTACAGGTGGACTTGTAGTTGTATTGTGTTTAGATAAGACATGGAGTCATGTCCTAGTAGGACACTTGTATCCTAGGCCTCATATATAGCGAGGGTAGACACACGATGTAACCTATGCCAACATAATAGCACAGGAACGCAGGGGAAGCCGGCGGCATGTGCCGGCGTCCAGGGCGACCGGGTGCGGTATTGTAGCGGTGTCATGGGGAGGAGCGCCCATAGTCAGGCCCTGGGGATGTAGCCATATCGGTGAACCTCGTTAACAAATTTCGGTGTCGTGCTCGTGTGATTGCTTGGTCCTCGGATGATCGATGGTATGCCTCGGATTTATTCTAACAATTTGTTCATGTGACATAATTTGTCCGTTGCACATTAAGTGGCCGTCAATGGTGGTGTTCGATGTTTTTTGTGGACTATTGTGGGTGTTAGCTTGACTTCAGTTGAAGTGCTTGAGTAGAAGTTACATTTGTTGAGATGTATCAGTGGGTAACCAAAATTTAGTAAGGTTGTTGTTACTTGTTGGCTAGTTAGTTACTGATACTATCTTTTTCTGCTTGATTAGGTCTCGAGAGTGGAATTGTTAGATGAGGTTCAGATAAGGGCAATAAACATGGCAAACGGTAAAAGCTTGCCTGAAGTGCCGACCTTGATGTTTGAATTCATAGGGACAGGTAACCTAACTTGCACTTTTATGCCATTTATATTGTATTATGCATCTATGGTGGCAGTCCTGAGTTCTAGTAGTACAATCTAGATAAATTTGAAATATGTGCACATTCCTTAAATCAGTATCTAGATTGATGATCAGAGTCACATGATATGTACAAGGAATTATGCAAGTTGCCACAACGGTTCAAACTGCGAAGTTTTATGCATGCAACCACCCAAATACACACCCCAAGAAGATTTCACTACATTAAAAAGAAGATAATACTACAAAGAGGAACATAAACATAAAAATTGCTTAGATTTTGCAGGCATATTGACATAACTGACAGATTCATTTCCATGGTCTTAATTTTGTATCTATAATACTAATAGTTTGTGAATTTGATGTTGTGTGATTGACAATAACGGGTAAAGAATGACACTATCTACTATACCATCAATATATTGTTTTTGTATTCTAGGTTATAACTTAGCATATACTCCCTCTGTCCTATAATATAAGATGTTATTACAACCAATGTACTCATATATTGGTTGTAATAGCATCTTATATTATGGGACGGAGGGAGTAGTTTCTACTTTCTGGTGTACATATACCTCTTGCGATCTCTCTATTAAAACTAAATTCACTTTGTGCACACTACTTTTTAGTAGACTCTAGACAATTTTCAGAAGTGATACCATAGCTCATGCTTGTGGTCTACAGCTGTTCCTTATCTTGGGGATGTAATTAACACATATTCAGTAATTTACTATTGTCTTCTGTTGGTTGTTCACTTGCTTGGACAAGTCACTTAAAAGCTCTTCTTAAGCTGCAAACATTCCTTCAGCTTACACATCAAGAACTGGCTGATCTTCCTTTTCTTTGTTAATCTCTTTCCATTGCAACTATTCAGAAGCATATGCACTTGAACAAACACTGTTGGTTCAAAAGATTGCTGCAGAGCACCATGGTTCTGATTTTGTTTTTGTGGAGGAGCCGAATGCTAAAGAGGAACTGTGGAAGGTCAGTCATCTGAACTTGTAGAGCTAATCTACAGATGTTTCGTTGTGCCGCATGATTGTGCACAGGCCATGCAATACCAGTGTCATACAGTACGACATTATGTTCCCTGGTTTCTGGAGAATAGTAGTACTGTGATATATAGGATATTTGGTCTTGAAGCATATTTTAATGGCATTTTCCTCTATGTGCAGATCAGGAAGGAGGCACTTTGGGCTGGGTTTGCCATGAAACCTGATCATGAAGCTATGATAACGGTTTGATTGCTTGCTCAGTATTTGATATCACTATAATCATCACCTTTTTGGTTGGTTAGAGATAGCTAGTCTCTAGTGGCATGCATCATATACCATTATGTTTACCTCCTTAGTTGTGAATCTTGGCATTTGTCAACATGCCCCAATGTAACCATCATTTGGCAAAAATATGGAATGTGATCCAATTTTAGTTCACATTCAAGTATAGGGTACTTAGCGAATAGCAACGGAATATCTTATCAGTTATGTAAAGGCCTAAAGGGTAACTGGCGCCGCTCTCTTCTCTTTGTTTGAATCAACATATGGCTTTTTTGTCCCTTGGTGGTAAATGCAGATCTTGTCAGCTTCATAATTTTTTTAATCTCATCTGCTCACAGAGATCGGCCAATGGTCATTATGATTATTGTAGCCTTATTATCTGTCGGTTTTCAGTGGATGAACTGCATCAAGTCTTAGAAAATTCTAATGCCGCCCCAATTGTTGTTCATGCAGGACGTTTGTGTTCCATTGTCTAGACTTGCAGAATGCATATCTGTATCTAAGCAACTACTTGATGCGTCACCATTGACTTGGTACATATTCTCCCTTACGCAGTACCTAGGTTTTTCCCACTTTGTTATCTGTTGTAGCTAGGAAAGCCATGGCCATCTCTTTTGTATTAGATTTGTATTTATAGGAGAGCAGAGCAGTTTGAAAATTCGAACTCTTGATGAAGTAGCATGCGATTCTTACCGCAGCTCCAGCATGACAGTACAGTATGCTATCCTTTTAATTATCCAGGAGGACCTTCTCTCTGACTTGTGCATGTTTTCAGTTTGGTTATCGCCCATGCCGGTGACGGAAATTTCCACACAATTATCCTATTTGATCCAAGCCAGGAGGAAGAGCGAAGGGAAGCAGAGAGACTAAACCATTTCATGGTTCATACTGCTCTGTCCATGGAAGGTACATGCACAGGAGAGCATGGTGTTGGCACAGGGAAAATGAAGGCAGGTGACCTATGACCTCTTTATCTTATCAAGGCCGTGATTTGTTTCGAATTTCCACATGAGTCATCAACAAGTCAGCACCCATGAGTGTGACAAGTGACAAGTGCTTTGGTGTGTGCATTGGCAGTACCTGGAGAAGGAGCTGGGGATGGAGTCACCGAGGACGATGAAAAGGATAAAGGCCGCGCTGGATCCCAACAACATCATGAATCCAGGAAAGCTCATCCCACCCCACGTCTGCATCTGACCAAGCAAGTGCCTGATTCCATGGCAGTGGGTTCGGTTGTTCAAGTTTGTCGTGGTGCCGCCACTGAATGCGTCCATGAAACATTTGGATCTGTTACAGCCTTACCCGAGGACACCAACACATACTTCATGAGTTACAAGTTACAACTTACAGTACCCGGCCCGGCCCGGCCATACTGAATAAAAGGACCAGGACGTTGTTATCTCTTGGTGTTATTTGTACCAATAGTAGTATACATGCATGGCACCGTTTACTGGGCCTGCTTCACATATTAACATACCTCCAAAACACGAGGGAGTGGTTTACATCCTGGTTTCACAAAATAGCGTTCTTGCTCTATACTCTTCTTGTAACAGTCATATATTCCCTCCGTTCATAAATATGAGATGCTTTGGATATTTCGAATATGTACCAAACACAAACTGAAATGAAACGTGTACATCTAATTCAAAAAGTTACAACATCTTGTAGGAGTATATGTGAATTGAGGGAATACTTGTATTACAAGCTCCACCTATGGACGCTGTATTTATTGCGTGACGGCAAAGCCTTGTCCCCTAGTGCCGGCCGCCGGACCCCGGCGATGGCCTGCACCAGCACGGCCGGCCGAGATGACGACGACAAACACACAACTCCACCTGGTGCAGCGCACACGTCGCGTACTCCACTGAACCGGGTCTATATCATCACCTCGCACCTGGCAAGTCCCATCTCACCACGGTTCACTGCTATAATGGCTTCCGAGGACTCTGCCGCGCCCGTCGTCGTGGACGACTGCCGGGGCGTGCTGTTGGTGTACAGCGACGGGGCCGTGGTGCGCAGGGATGGGCCGAGCTTCGCCACGCCGGTGCGGGACGACGGCACCGTGGAGTGGAAGGACGCCGAGTTCGACGCGCCCCGCGGGCTGGGACTCCGGCTCTACAGGCCGCGCCAGCGGAACCAGCTCCTACCGGTCTTCTTCTACTACCACGGCGGCGGCTTCTGCATCGGCTCGCGCACCTGGCCCAACTGCCAGAACTACTGCCTCCGCCTCGCCGCCGAGCTCGGCGCCGTCGTGGTCGCCCCGGACTACCGCCTCGCCCCCGAGAACCGCCTCCCCGCGGCCATCGACGACGGCGCCGCCGCCCTCCTCTGGTTTGCTTCGCAGGCCGGCCCCGCCGGCGACACATGGCTGACCGAGGCCGCCGACTTTACTCGGGTGTTTATCTCTGGTGACTCCGCGGGAGGCACCATTGCCCACCACCTGGCCGTGCGTTTCGGCTCCGCGGCCGGGCGCTCTGAGCTGGGCAACGTACGCGTCAGGGGCTACGTCCAACTCATGCCCTTCTTCGGCGGCACGGAACGGACGAGGTCCGAGGCGGAGTGCCCCGACGACGCGTTCCTCAACCGCCCGCTCAACGACCGCTACTGGCGCCTCTCGCTGCCTCCCGGCGCCACGGTCGACCACCCGGCCTCCAACCCGTTCGGGCCGGACAGCCCGGCGCTGGAGGCGGTGGAGCTGGCCCCGACGCTGGTGGTGGTCGGAGGCCGCGACATCCTCCGTGACAGGGCCGTGGACTACGCCGCGAGGCTGCGGGCGATGGGGAAGCCGGTGGGGGTGAGGGAGTTCGAGGGGCAGCAGCACGGCTTCTTCACCATCGACCCATGGTCCGCCGCGTCTGCGGAGCTCATGCGCGCGCTCAAGCGCTTCATCGACACCGACGGGCGCTTCGACTAGATCCGTTCCATCGCCTCCGACTCCTCAGTCTATGTCTTTCTGCTGCTTTACCAAGTCTACAGATGGCATTGCAATACCAAAACTCATGAAATTACGGCAAAAATGATAAATTTGACCTGTAGACAAAAAGAATTCACAAAATAAACTGTTCTTGAAAAAAATTTCACTCCACTGACCCTTTCATGTAGCGCCCAACAATAAGGCATCACACTACACAGTGCAACGCCTGACTGACAGACGCTATACACCTAACCAGCGTCCAAACCTAAACTGCCTGAAAATTCTAAGTTAATGTGCAACGCATAAGGGCTAGACGCTATACTATACAGTGCAGCGCCTAGCACCTAGGCGCTACACTGATGTCCAGTTAATTAGTAAAAAGATTCGCATTAAGCAGCACGAAAGATCCAAACAAGCACACGACGCTCATGCATGCAGTACGTTGCTGTAGGCCCTACGAGGCTGTGGCCACGCATGCACGCACACGGCATGCATGCACGTGGTTTGGTGATCCGTCGGTTGCTTTTGCTTTGTCCCTTGTATAGCTGTTAGTGTAGCGCCTAGACTCTCGACGCTACACTATATAGTATAGCGCCTAATTCTTAGGCATTGCACGCTGACTTAGAAATTTCCAGGCATTTTGAGGTGTGATAGGCGTGTAGCGCCTGTCAGTCAGGCGCCGCACAGTGTAGTGTGGCGCCTGGCTGTCGGGCGCTACACAAAAGGGTCAGCGGAATGAATTTTTTCTAACAACAGTTTACTTTGTGAATTCTTTTTGTCTACATGTCAAATTTATAGTTTTTGCCTGAAATTACACCGAGGCAAAAGATAAGCTCCCACACGGAACAAATATATCGTCTTGTTTCAGATTTTCTCAAAGACCCATGGAATGTACTCATGTTTGCTTTCAAAGCTGTAGATCGAGAGATTACACAAGATTTACTGGAACATACGGCTAAACACCGGAGAAGCAAACCTACATCACCACAACACTGAACATGCGGCATCACTGTTCCAAGCAAAACAGAACAAAAATTAGGCTGGAGATAATTAAGCATCTGGAGAACTAAAAGGACAACTAGCTGACTGGCTCTGCCATGATTCAAATACTTAAGTCAAAATGCAACAAAGTTTACAATCTACCAACTAGAGCATACAACCTGGACACAAGATGGTGCAACGCCACACAAGTTTCATGTTGCTAGAGCATCTTTAGCAGACCCCGTATAATGCCTTGACCTGTAAAATAACTGTCAAAATACGGGTCCACGCGGAAAATGCTGCCCGATCAGATACCGCAAACGCGTCCGACCCGTAAATTTTTTTGCGGGACGCGGCAAAAGTCCCGCCCCAACCCGCGAAAACGCGGGTACTCCCCCTCGCCCCGTCGGTGCCCTGTATATAGCGATAGCGGTTGGGGGGGGGGGGAGGCATTTCAGCCCGCGCTTTTCCCCCACCCACCGCCGCCCACAATTTTGGCCATGCCAGCTGGCGGGATCACACCGACGGGCCGCCACACGCCCGAGATTCGCCCGAGATTGTCCTCTACCACTTCCCCCTACCTTTTTTTAGAGAAAAGGCCAAAGCCCGACTTTATAAATAAAGCCACATGGCAGCGTCACGAATACCCAAGGTTCACACAGTCTCAGAAACACAAAGAGAAGTTAAATAGGCCCAAATTCCTAACGAAACAGGCAGCTGCCAAACACGGCACGCAGGCCGGGGAGAGAAGGAGACCTAATCCCGCAAACTACAGCACCAAGCTTATACGCCATGATTCGTCCCGGAGATCTGAGAGGCTGAAGCCCGAATTTTGGCAATGAGCAGGTCCAGGGCGTCCCGATCTGGCTCCTTAGTCAATAATCTCCACTGCTGCAAGAATATACATGATTTGAAAAGAACGTCAGCAGGCTTAGATGGGAAGGTAAGCTCAATAGTAAATTTGTTTCTAATGGTCCAAAGAGCCCAACATAAGGCTCCCAAGCCAACCCAGAATGCCCTCTTGGTGACCCCTACCAGAGATTTGGTTAGGGTTCTAGTGTCTGCGAAAAAGGAGGGATCCCAGGAGACCCGAAGCCATGATCTTACGCAAGACCAAACTAATTTGGCAAGAACACAGTTGAAAAAGATGTGATTAGAGTTTCCCACTACCTCGTGCGACCGGATAGTTGCAGATCGACGACTGTTTGCCTTGGCCCCCGGATTTGGTGTTTCCGGCCACCGGTGGCTACACCAAGCCATGGATTGGTCGGGGAGCACCCCGCACAGCCCCGACAAAGCCCTAGCGCCGCATGCAGGTACTAGTCCGTCCTCTAGCCGTCATCGTTGGTTTGCTAGCAAGTAGTCAGCCGGTTGTCGCCCGGGCTCGGTGCTCGCGCAGCGGCTAGCCGGCTCGCCGACGCTGCTCATACAGTGCGACGACTGCATGCAGAAAGTGGTGCGGCTAACATTTAGCACGTCGAAACACCCCGGATGGGTATTCTTCAAATGCGAGAACGACAATGTATGTTCTTGTTTTCATTCGGCTTGTCAACCTATTCGGTTCAATTTCAATAGCTTATTGAGATGGTCATGCGTGCACGAAGACGGATGCTTATTTTGGTTTTGGGAAGAAAAATACATCAACTTATTGATAGAAAGAAACTTAATAGACGTTCGTGCACTAGTTGGTAGAATTAAGGCTAATGATGCGGCTGCATGTGCAATTAGAGAAGAAATTAGATGTCACGCCCTCGATGCGGCTATATCTCCCACGTGTCGAAGCACGACTTAGAGGCATAACCGCATTGAAAGCAATGTCGCAAGTGAGGTAATCTTCACACAACCCATGTAATACATAAGGGAAAGAGATACATAGTTGGCTTACAATCGCCACTTCACACAAATACATGAATAAAGCATTACAACATCCAATACAATCAAGGTCCGACTACGGAACCAAAATAAAAGAAGAACCCCAAAAGCGACAAAGGTCCCCGATCGACCCCAACTGGGCTCCACTACTGATCAACTAGAACGAAACAACACAAAAGACAAGATCTTCATCGAGCTCCTCCTTGAGCTTGGTTGCGTCGTCTGCACGGACTCATCGGCACCTGCAAGCTGGTTTTGGAAGTACCTGTGAGTCACGGGGACTCAGCAATCTCGCACCCTCGCGATCAAGACTATTTAAGCTTATGGGTAAGGTAAATGTATGAGGTGGAGCTGCAGCAAGCGACTAGCATATCTGGTGGCTAACCTGTTTGCAAAAGAGAGCGAGAAGAGGAGGCAAAGCACGATCGTGAAACTATGATCAAGAAGTGATCCTAGAACAACCTACGTCAAGCATAACTCCAACACCGTGTTCACTTTCTGGACTCCGCCGGAAAGAGACCATCACGGTTACACACGCAGTTGATTCATTTTAATTAAGGTCAAGTTCAGGTTTTCTACAACCGGACATTAATAAATTCCCATCTGCCCATAACCGCGGGCATGACTTTCGAAAGTTCAAATCCCTGCAGGGGTGTCCCAACTTAGCCCATGACAAGCTCTCACGGTCAATGAAGGAATAGACCTCCTCCCGAGATATTCCGATCAGACTCGGTACCCGGTTCTACAAGACATCCTCGACAATGGTAAAACAAGTCCAGCAAAACCGCCCGATGTGCCGACATCCTGATGGGAGCTGCACATATCTCGTTCTCAGGGCAACACCGGATAGGTCAAGCTACGAGTAAAATCAGCCCTCAAGTTTCCCCGAGGTGGCCCCGCAGGCTGCCCATTTTGGACCAACACTTAGACAAGCACTGGCCTGGGGGGGGGGTTAAAATAAAGATGACCCTTGGGCTGGCCTAACCCAAGGGAAAAAGAGGCTAGGTGGCGAATGGTAAAACCAAGGTTGGGCCTTGCTAGAGGAGTTTTATTCAAAGCAAACTGTCAAGGGGTTCCCATTATAACCCAACCGCGTAAGGAACGCAAAATCCGGGAACATAACACCGATATGACGGAAACTAGGGCGGCAAGAGTGGAACAAAACACCAGGCATAAGGCCGAGCCTTCCACCCTTTACCAAGTATATAGATGCATTAATTAAATAAGATATATTGTGATATCCCAACAAGTAAACATGTTCCAACAAGGAACAACATCTCCAAGTTCCAACGAGGAACAAAACTTCAATCTTCACCTGCAACTAACAACGCTATAAGAGGGCCGAGCAAAGCGGTAACATAGCCAATCAACGGTTTGCTAGGACAAGGTGGGTTAGAGGCTTTGTTCAACAATATAGGAGGCATGATAAGCAAGTGGTAGGTATCGCAGCATAGGCATAGCAAAAGAGCAAGCAACTAAGCAAGCAAAGATAGAAGTGATTTCGAGGGTATGATCATCTTGCCTAAAATCCCGCAAGGAAGAAGAACGAGTCCATGAAGCAGACAAACGGACGTAGTCGAACGGTTCCTCACAAACGCGACGTTACCGGAAACAACCCGAAGAAGCACACCAGAAAGAAGCAGACAACATAGTAAACAACCACCACATCAACAAAGCATGATGCACAACCAAGTATGATGCATGTCCGGTTTAATGAGGCATGGCATGGCAAGGTGCACAAGCAATCCTACAAATTAAGTGGAGCACAATATGCAATGGGTTGCATATTGACGGAACACCACACCAATTATTTAGTTCGAATCTCGTTTATGTACCCAACAATATTAAATGTTGTTAGCATGGCAAGAGGTGAAACATAACAAAACTATACCATCTAAACAATTTAAATGGGGCCGGATATAACAAACAACAAATCCGGTAAATCCCCATATGCATTTAGCAAATTGATGGAAACAACAAATATAATCATTTTAAATGTTGTTATTATGATGCGAATGACATATGCAAGTTTTAAGCAATTTTATGAAAATGTTGACATGAGCATGTTATGAAGCATTTATCACCGTAGTGGAATAAGGGGTGCCACGACAACGAATCCGAAAGTGATGCCACGGCAACATATCGGT